GGAAACTTTTAGACTGACTCTGACTGGTAGCAAGGGGCGTTATCGTGCGTAAAATAAAAAAAAAATATTAATGAAAACCCAAAAGTGATAATAGATGTTCCATTAATACGTTAATGTAAACAGTTCCGCTGGTTGTAACCTTCTTTAAAAGGAAATACAGACCTCACCTGCCCTTACACCCAGTGAAAGAATCCCAAACCATCACAGTGTCCGCATGTTCAACTGTCTTGACGGTATATTACGGATCACAGAGCTACGCACAAACTTTAATTCGCCTGTCTGAACTCGCCAGTCTGAAAGTTCATTCATTACTCAAAATTACTTGCTTTCAATCGGATAGTATCAAGCATCGATGTAAAATTTCGTTTTTTTTTTATAGTCTTAGTGAGTAGAGGCTTTACCGTTACGTTCCAGGTCGTTAAACGGAGATCTTTTTGAAGGCAATGCTGGATGGTTTTCATTGACACGTCCTTGAGGAGTTTTGGATGCTCTGGTCTCATACCCGGAGTGACCTAGGTTCGAGGCCTGGTCAGGGAGGATTGTTATATATCTATATCAATGCGGTATTGCATTATTACATCTTTCATGTATATACTTCAGTATATCTGACTTCGGTTTCGAATTTCTCAATCAATTTCCACCGAGTGCCCAAGGGGAGTGTGTGTAAAACCTCGCTATCATTACTCATGTATGATAGGTAATATTTATGGAGCTAGTTAGATCCTAGTTGCACACTCCTTTTAGATGGTCGTGTGGCATGGTTGGTTTAGTACTGGCCCTCCGGTCTCATACCCAGAGTGACCTTAGGTTCGAGGCCAGGTCAGGGAGGATTGTTATATATATATATATATATATATATATATATATATATATATATATATATATATATATATATATATTTATATATATATATATATATACAGATACATATACATATATATATATATATATATATATATATATATATATATATATATATATATATATACACACATACACACACTTGATAGCGAAGTAGTTTATATATCATATTTTCTTCTTTGATATTTAGATTGCTATTAAGTCTAATGTAGTATGAAAAAAGGATGAAAATGATTATAATACCAATAGCAATGATAATGACGAAAATAATGATGTTAATGATAACAATGATAATAACAATGGCAATGATAATTATAACAATGATGCTAATAATAATGATAATGAAAGTGATATTACTGGCGATAACAAAAATGAAAGCAACGATAACAATAAAGATGATAGTATAATTTTCATTATTATCACCATTTCTACTGTTATCATTATTTTTTTTTTACAACCGTTAATATCATTACTATCATTATTCAACTTCCTTACTATGATTATCATCATTAAAGAAAAAATAATCTTCATAGTGATAAAAACTAAAATAATTCCAACGTAACACTGATAAGACTAGCAAAAGTGATCAAGAATGATGATTATAACAACCCTAGTATTAATGATGCTAATAGTAATGAAGATAATAACAACCCCAGTATTAATGATGCTAATAGTAATGAAGATAATAACAACCCTAGTATTAATGATCATTATAACAACCCTAGTATTAATAATAATAATAGTAATGAAGATAATGACAACCTTAGTATTAATGATCATTATAACAACCCTAGTATTAATGATGCTAATAGTAATGAAGGTTATAACAACCCAGTATTAATGATGATTAGAACAACTCCAGTATTAATGATATAATAGTAATGAAGATGATAACAACCCTAGTATTAATGATCATTATAACAACCCCAGTATTAATGATGCTAATAGTAATGAAGGTTATAACAACGCAGTATTAATGATGATTATAACAACTCCAGTATTAATGATGATAATAGTAATGAAGATAATAACAACCCTAGTATTAATGATCATTATAACAACCCTAGTATTAATGATGATAATAGTAATGAAGATAATAACAACCCTAGTATTAATGATGATAATAGTAATGTTAATAACACAGGTAAGGGGAATCAACACAAAAATCTTAATGCGTAAAAAGGATAGGTGTAAAGGAATTTTCTTTATTCACTGTTGTTGCTAAGGGATGTTGCAAACGTCATCCTTATCATGCTATTTGTTTGGCATTTCATTTAGCCTATTATGTTTCGGTTTCTTTTTCTTTTCTGTCAGTTCACAGCATATATAGTTGTAAAATAAAGAGATAATCAATAGCTAAAATAAACGAATATCCTCAGTTTATTGGTGGTGGTGAGTGAATGAGTGAGAAAGAGAGAGAGAGAGGGAGACCGACAGACAGACAGACAGACAGAGAAAGAGCTCAAGTTAGTATTTATTCTGATTTCTTAGAAGTATAAGCACAGTCATACACACATGTGTAACCACACTGCACACACACACACACACACACACACACACACACACACACACACACACACACACACACACACACACACACACACATACAAACACACGCACATACAAACACACACACACA